CTTTCAAAAGTCCCATCTTGCCGCCCATTAAAGCTCGAGTTCGCTCTCGTTAGTGGGCTGAGGGGCAATTGTTGGAGCTGGATTTGACACCCCAAATCCGGCCCACTCAATCCCAACGAGCAGATCTGGACTAAGCCAAAAAGGCTGGGCTTCGATCTTACGGCCCAGGCCCATTCACCTTTCAACAACCCGATCATGAGCAACAAGACATTCCGTTCGACGAGGTCGAGCTCCAGCTCGACCAAATCCCGAGAAATGAGGAAGAATCCGAGCCAAGTCAGGGCATATTCTCGCCAGTTCAAATGAGTCTGAAGATCACGGAGGAAGTTGCTGCACGTGGTGAGATATCCGGCTAAGGCTGCTGCACCTGGCCGAGATACGCGCTGGAGTTCGGAGCTCGACGGAGAAAGCTATATAAAGAGGGAAAACAGCTTAGTTCAGAGGACCTTGGGCTTGATCTTTTTACACATATTTTTACATCCGAAAACATTGTAACTGCTCCCAGAGCTCTTTCAGTTCATCTTTTTACTGAAATCTTTATAACCGTTTCATTCGACCGATTAATAAAAAGTCCTTATTTCAGTTAGTGCTAGCTTATATTGTCAATTTGTTCGAGAGAATCTAGCCCTCAATTCTTCTAAGTTTCTTTCCTTACAAAACACATAAATTTCTTAGTATAGGTTTCTGCATCCACAATATATTGTTTTAATATTTCACAAACTTCTCTCTGAAACCAATGTATTTTAAAACTTTTTATTTTTATAATACTTGTAATAATATATAATCACAGATATAAAAGTTATATTAAATAATAATTAAATTTTTATAATATTTTTGAATATTTCTATAATATGCTTTTTTCTTACATAATATACAATATGCTTTTTTACGTCTTACATAATATGAATTTGCAAATACACATATAATATATTTTAAGTATATATTTTTTCTTGATTTATTACAAATTAAACTGAAATAGTTTTTACTATTTTTACTTATTGCTAAGAGTGGATAGATGGTTAGCACGCATTTGCGGGAATATCAACCACTTACTACACATAGAATAGATAAAATCAACCAATCAAAACATTTCATTTATTTTAGGAAGTTTGACATGTCACATTTACATGTCATCAATTAAAAGCACTAACTTTGGTTGTAGTGTTGACAAATCAGCTATTTTCAGTAATGTTATTTCTCAAATAATATGTAGTGGGTCTGTTTATTTTTTGTTTCATTTATGATTTTGAATATTTGCTATATAACGAGAATTCATTCATATATGATATAAACTGTTTATTCTTATTTAAAAATGAGATTTATTTAGTTTTAATTTAACCAATCAAAATTTTTATTTTATTTTAGGAAATTTGTCATGTCACATTTATAATGTGACATTGTTTTATACTAACTTTTCTTAAAGTGTTTACACATAGGATATGTTTAGTAAACATGCTTCTCAAATAATAGTTATGATGTGTATGATTTAAGATGTAAAATAATATATTTAATATTTGATTGTTATTAGAAATTAAGAATTGATTTGTTCCTAACTTTAATATATTTGTTAATATCAAATATATTGGATCACGATATATATAAAACTTAATTTATGAAATAATTTTTTAATATGTTAGAAAAAATATATGCATAAAATATTTAATATGTGTAAGATAATATTTTTAAATATTAAAAATTTAAAATCGATCAAAATTATTCTTATTATTTTTTTTGTCTTTTTTGTTTTCTACTTTTTTTTTTAACATTTAATAATATATTAAACATTAAGATCATTTACAATATATTTCTATTTTTTTCCTCTAAAATACAAGTAGACTTCTCTCCAGCCTATTTCTATTTTACAGAGAAAAAATAGTATTATTTTTTTCCTCTATAATTGGAGAAAAAAAAATAACAATATTTCTTTTTCCACTAAATTAAAAGATTTAAAACAAAGGTGGGTTGGAGATGCTTTAAACCAAAAATATAACCTGAAATTTTTACATAAAATTAAAATAGTAAAGATTCAATACTTTTACTTTTATTTTTTATTCATATATACAGTATTATAATAATAATAAAAAGCTAGCTAATAAAACATGTTTGGCCCAAAATGTAACCATAACAACAACAACAACAACTGAATAAAATTCCTTATCTAATTAAGTTCCACAATTCTTTAAGCTACGAACACATGATTTAAGCACACAAAGTCGGTTGCAGTCCATCAATATATTAACAAATTTATGAATGGATGATTAATGTTATGTTAGTTCTAAACATAACATTACCCATAACATTACAGTAGCTTACAAGGAGGAAAATAAACGCTCACAACTTTAGAATTAACCATATCTTCTTTTGCATTAAATAAAACATTTTAGTATATTGGTCTCACCTCCCGTAAGAGCAGCAATGTCATCAAGGTACTGGCTTTTCCTCTCTCCAAATCCAGGAGCTTTCAAAGCAGCAACTTTTATAGTACCACGAAGCTTTATTCAGAACAAGAGTGGCTAATGGCTCTTGCTCTATATCTTCAGCGATGATCAAAAACGGGTAACCACCTTTAATTGCATCTTCCAGAATGTTGATAATGTCTCTAGCATGTGTTATCTTACTGTCAACAAAAAACATCTGCAAAAACAACAAGAGACACACACAAAAAAGTTTTAAAATCCAGAGGTATTGTCAGCAGCTAATACGATTCAACTGATGGAAACAGTAATTAGACCTTGCAGTTCTCGTATTCTGCAGACATTTTCTCAATCATATTTGAACCAAAGCTTTTGCTACTTCGTAACTGTTTTCTGCACTAACCGCTGCAACATCTACAAGTTCACTATCTTCGACCTGCACAATCCCAAAAAACAAAAAACAGAACAATTCTGTTCAGCACAATGAACAGAGTCTGACCAAAAGAAACTTTAAGTAAAGAAAAAAAGTTACCTCCTTTGACATTTTCTTCAGCTCGGCAACAAGAGCCTTAGTGGTTTTCTCGATTCCTCTGGTAATCAAAACCGGGTTTGCACCAGCGCCCACCACCCGCGACAATTTTAATTTTACATATCACATTTCAACCAAAGCTTGATATGTTCAATTGTATAACACGTAAGCTGGAGAAGACCCTTCTGAAACATTTGATCACAAAGGATTCATCATATTTTGGACAATGTAAAAAGTTGAAAAAGTGGAAAAAATCAATCTAACTTAGTTTATTGTTTAACGGTTAACAAAAAAAAAAACTAAACAATTGATGTTGTGTCTGGTCTTTGACACCATGTTCCTAAGCCTTGCAGCAGTGATGTTGTACCAAAAAGAGTACACCATAGCTCCATGTTTTGGCTCCAAGTAGAAAGCTTGCTGCCAAAAAGAAAGCAAAGCAAGTAACGGTACAACAAAATAAACCAAAAAATCGATATATCAGACACAATAGAATAAGAAGAGTGCGATCGGATCACATGAACAATATAATAAGAAGGGTACGATCGGATGACATGAGCAAAATATAAGACAAAATCAGTATACAATATCTTTTCAAACCTGTGCGGAGATTGAGACTGAACTTGAAGCCAATCTTCGATTGAGACTTGGCTTCGTTGTAATCTCTTGGATTTCGCCCATGAGAGAACCGTCGCTGAGATTGAGACTGAATTTGATGAACGATTAGTCCTAGGAATTAGGGGTGGGCAAAATATCCGTGGTATCCGCTTCGAACCGATATTTGCTTCGATCCGATTCGAAAAATTCGGATATCCGTAAAGCTTCGGAGCAAAGCAAATAGCAAAATGTAGTATCCGTACAAAACGAAGCAAATCACAAATATGTTTTTAGATAACACCGAATATCCGATCCGATCCGTATCTTTATAAATTTATTATATATTATCATGTATATATCAATTATATTATAAATTTTTATTAATATATTCTCAATTTTCTTCCTAAATTTTCAATTATTCTTTTGATTTTATAAAATAAATGATTAAATAACCAATTATAAAAAATAAATAATATGTTTAAACTTAAAATATGTTAATAAGTAACATTTTATTTTATATTAGTAAATAAATATCAACAAAAGTTTTTTAGTAAAGTTTAATATTAAAATTTCAAATAGTTAATATTATTTTTAAATATAAAATATCATTTTTCCTCATCTTAATTTTTTAGGTTTATTTTTTATAGATTTTTTTTATAGAATAAAATATTTTCTTTTAGTTATTTTCACTTAATAGTTTAGATGAAATTTTTTTTATATAATAAAAATCGATGTACTTTCAGTTTTGTGTATATTAAACGGATCAAACTAAATATTCATAAATATTCGTAAATATCCGCAAATATCCGCTGTAAATTTTCTAGATATCCGAAAATCCGGATAACCGTATATTTTCAGAGCAAATCAAATCATAAAATTAAATATCCGTTAAAAATAGAACAAACCACAAATACTAATAAATTTTCAGATATCCGATCCACGCCCACCCCTACTCGGAATCGCTGTTTATCGATTTCGTCCAGATCTGTTCCCATGGTAAAAAAGCTTGTTGTAACGGTCATGAACATCGTCGCTGATATTGATTGTCAACTTTTCTGGGAATTTTGATGAACAATATCTTCTATGAATTGTAATGGTTTTTTTTTGAACGATGTGGCAAATTTTCTTTTTGTAAAACAAAAAAAAAAGCTAAGTCATATTTCTAGCCTGACATTCAGCAACACATCAGACTTTTTAGTAAAAGTGCTTATCTTTTAATATGGATATCACAAAATACAATTAAATATAAACATTTATGGGTTTCTATTTAGTTATGAATCAAAAGTATCAATGCTACGTCTTTATTTTTAATCATTATCTTTTTTGTTGAAAAAGTGTTAATTTTTAATCATTATTCTATCAAATCCACTTTTATATAAAATTTAGTTTTAAAATTTGCATCCAATGTGAATTCTTTAATTAATTTTAAAAAGTTTCATATTTAGTTTTGAATTATTTAATATTTTGTATCCAGTTATCTATAAATGAATATAAATCTATATATCAAAATAATTAAATGTAAATATGTAATTATTTATAACTAATAATAATAATGATCAAAAATTATCAAAACTATATGTCTAGGGCTACCATCTCCGCCGCTGGTGCCGATATCACAAAGTTTGGAGATTCGACGGAGTTATCTCCGCCGCGGAAGACAGATCCGTTGGCGGAGTTGGAGGTGAAAACAGGGGCCCCACCAGTTTTCCGCACAAGAGATCGGGAGGATCCGGAGTATTGGAGACAGCGAGAGAAGTTTCTGGAACAATATGAACAGAGCGAGGTAATATAAATATATATATCCCTTTGATCTTATGTATTAATCTCTTTTTCAGGATTTTGTATGCAAACCACCAATTCGAGATTTTGTATGATTTTAAGGGTTACGATATTGAATTGGACAAATTTGACTACGATTACGCTCCCATCAAATTCGAATGGGGAGAAACATTCGATGTTGAGCGTAGCAAGGACGAGTTAATGAAGCTGCTCATAAAGACAGCAATCGACGAAGAAAACGAAGAATGTGTATGTTTGCTCTTTGCTTATTTTTTAATTAACAATGCTTCTCCTCTCCTCCTTTTCTTGATTCAACACTTATTCTCGCAGGAAACGCAACTTGAGTTTGTCAAGTATGTGAGCGCAAATGTACTAGGCGTACAAGGTTATTGTTTTTATATAACGTTTTGGGCCAAAGATGTTTCCTCGCCAGATCCAGAGCCAAAACTTTACCAAGCCAAGATGTGGAAGTATCGTCATGAGATCGAGGTTATCCAATTCAGGCTAAGGCCAACACAAGAACGATTTGGATCTATTCTCACACTAGACATGTAAGTGGCTTCATATTCTCTTCTAATCTCTTCTTCTTCTCCTGGCCATGTCAGTGTCTGATTACTACTCTTTTTTTCATCTTGTGTGTATACAGGTGATTGCCACATTAACTGGAAACATTGTAACTTAAACTTAAATGTAATGCCCTTATTAAAATTGTCGTGTTGACTGTTGAGACATTTGTTGTTAGTTGGTCTGTCTCCAAACTTTTAACTATTTTAAGTTGGATTATCCGAACCTGAAGTCGACGACAAGACTGAATTGTGAGTGACTGATAATCCAGATTATCCTTGTTGAATGAATGGGTTTAGGAGATGAGCGATGCAAAAGCACAAGAAAAAATTGCAACTACAGATTAAGAAGAATACGATTACTATAATTTGACTAGGCTACAAAACATTTCTTAAAGTATTATATTTGCAGCCTCGTAGTTTATAAATTTCTTCATCTCGAGGATCAAACACAGACGCGAGAGCCAAGGCTCTGTACTGTACAAATACCTACAGGAGAAAGCCAGTCCAAAGGTTAGTCAGCCTTTCATCTGGTGGCCCTTAATCTGAATGATGAGAAAATTTACAACTCGACTCTCTCATCTTGTCTCATAACTGTCTGAAAATGATTGGGAATCGTTGATCCATGGAGACGAACTTGATTAGTTTCTCAATTTTATGCGTTTTTAAGGGTTTTGATGTGGGAACCACATTTTGATCCGCATCAGAGCAAAGAGGAGCTGCTCAGGCTGCTTACACAGACAGAAAATGTGAGCTTTCTTGCTCTTCTTCTCTATTACTCTCTCTTCTCTCTCCTCAACTCTCCTAAATATATATGATTCCAGGGAACCGAGGTTGAGTTTGTGGAGCATGTGAAAGCCAATGCAAGGCCATGTGCGGGGATGATGTATTTTATAACATTTCGGGCAAAAGATGTTTCGTCGCAAGATCCAGAGCCTAAACTCTACCAAGCACAGGTGCAAAAATTCTGTGATGAGATTTCGGTCCATCTGATGAGGCTAAGGCCGACGCAAGACTGATTTGTGTGTGTGTGTGTGTGGTGATGAGGTACAACACTTCACTCTAAAACTCTATGTTGCTTTCTACTTTTCTTGTTGAACACCATCATCATCTTTTTATTTTTCTTTTGTTTTGTTTCTTAAAGTTGTTGTAATTTGTTATCTTGTTTAGCCATGACTTGTGAGTGTCTGTTAAACAGATTTGCTGATTGTTTTTATGCGCACAGATGCCTCTAAACTCCATGGCCTTCACCTTTCAGGACGCTTTGTTTAATATGATAATATCTTCAAGTAGCTTTATCACATGTCCTTATTGCTAATCTTTTAGACTTATATATGTGTGGTTGGTATTTATTTATGTTTTGTAAAACGTAAACATCTTGTGACGTCCATGAAACTGAATCACTTTTAATCTTCGATGCATACAGGTGGTGACTACTTCAACTCATTATGTGCTTATCTAAGTAGTCGTGTTTGAGACTATGGCCTTTGTAACTTAAAACGGTTCTATTGAAGTTGTATTATCAGAATCTTAAAATAAATTGCAATCCTAATAGAAATGTGAGTGGCTGATAGACAGAATCTTGTATCATATCCTTGTTGAACGAGTTGCTTAGCATATGACCCAGTCTTGTTCATAAACAAAACATGCAACTACCAAGAGAACTCTTGGTTATTATAAGACCTGGAGTCTAAAGAAAACAGCATTTCAAACATAACAGATCACTAAAGAAACAGAGTCTCGCATCTTCTTCAAAACTAATCTAAAACATGATAGAAACCCTCCAAGGCAAGAATGAAAGTCTAAAAAAAAGTCTTAAAAAGAGAGTCTCGCATCTTCTTCACTCTCCTCTTTTCAACTCACTACTTTCTCTTCTGTGGATACCCCTTTTTCTCTGCGTAATAAACTTCCATGAACAAGGAACCTGACCCTCTTCTACTTTCTCTGTAAAGTCGACCAAATCCTCCTTCTCCCCAATTTCTTCCTCCGCTGTTTTGTATTATCCAGTAGTAGTTACCATGCTCATCAACTCCAAAGCCCAGAATGAGAATAGCGTGGAGCTGAAGATTGATTTCTTTTTGGGGTCTGTAAATACCCTGTTTCGTCAAACAACAACAATCAAAGATATTAAGGCTGGAAAAACTGCAATCACAATTTACATTAGCTCAAAAAATTGTAGTTAAATACACTTACGCTTTTGTATGATTCAAAATCGGACCACAAAGGCACAACTCCAACCACCGGATGCTTCCACACTAGTCTTGCAAGATCGACATCATCGACTTCCTTGATGACAACAAGACGGTCAATCCTCTCCATCTTTGGCTACAAAGAAAACAGAATTGAGAATGCAAATAATAAAGCGTATAAGTGATATTTTACGACATGCTAAAGAGAAAACGTATAAGTAATCTTGTTCTTACATTTTCATGGACGCATGTGTCTTTGGCACGAGTGTATGAACATTCAGCTTCCTCCAAAATGCCTTTTTCTGCCACGAATTTTCCAAGATCTGTGCTCTCTTTCAATCCAAGTGACCCGATTTCGATATTATTTATTAAATGTTGAATCGAAAAAGACTTTTGATCTTCTAGCCTTTTGCCGATATTGAAAAGCGCTTCTACAGATCGGATAAATGCTATTGCCCAGCATATTACTATAAAGAAATAAAAAAAATCAATTATTGGTTAATAACAAACATAAGATTATTAATATATTTATGTGATGAATTTATAACTTACGATGATGTTTCTGTGTGAGTACATTACTAATTATTCCCAAATAGAGTCTCCAATCCCAATTCACAGGGCAGTCCTAAACCATAATTTAAACAGTTCATAATTAATTTAAAATAAACCATATATCAGTAGAATAAATCTAGAAAATTAACTTTGTACTTTACAAAATGAACATAAAAACTTACATCTCCATCATCAGAAACTTTGATCCTTTTTTTGATTTTTTCTCATCGTCCTAAAAACATTAGAGAGCATTTAATTCATGACCAAATTAAATCATTAGTTTTCAGATTAATCACACACACACACATTTATAAATATATATTATAAAAACAATTAAGTCAATACCATATATTTTCGGTTTCTAGGCATTTCTTCTTCAGCAATTTCTTCCTCGACAATTTGTTTTTCCTTGCCTTTGTTCTGTTTAAACAAAAAATCAATAGATCATTAACTATCGTTGAATAGTGAAGTGAACACACAATGTGTATAAGAAAACGAATATATATATATATATATATATATATATATAATATTTTACCTTCTTCCTGTCATCTTTCTCACTTCTTTTTCCTCCTGTATCCATTTTCTGAAATTTGATTTTAACCCAAAACAAAAAAAGTTCTTAGATATTTCATATTAATACAAAAAGATCTACCCCAAATAAAAAGAACATTTCCTTGTTCTTGATAAACAAGTTTCCTAGATCAAAAGACAATCTTTTTTATACTTATAAATAATAACTTCTAAGTTTAATCTAATAGAAGAACATTCATACACTAAAGATGAGGGTTTAATGAAAAAAAAACCTAAAATTTATACAACAACAATAAATAAAATGGGAAATCGATTTTTTTGTTAAAAGGAATTGGAATTTTTAGAAATAAAATTTCAGAACTTTAATAACAAAAATGCATATAAAATGTAATGGTGAACTTTGAAGTTGGCCCATTTAGTTTCATAGATCCTTTATATCATAGTAAAAAGGCCAAACCTGGAACAAAAATAGTCTTTGATCTTCATAAAAAGCTTACTAGATCTTTTGTTCCATAAAAAAAAACAATCTTTTATACATATAATGCATTCTTAGTCTATTATAGTAGGAAAAACATATATAAACTAAAGATGATGCATTCATGGAAAAAAAATGAAAAAATTTATGAGAGTTTGGGGGAAGAGAACTTTAATTACCAGAGAATCGGAGATTTGATTTCAGAATACAGAGAAGGGAGGGGAAGAACCGAAGAAAAAAAAAGAGAACAACTGTATTGTTTGATGTGCAAGGATTTAGCCATTTAGGGCTAGTATATAAAGAGGGTGTGTGGGACGTATGATTTCTGTTTTGAGAAGTTGGACTACATAATGTTGAAAATTTGTATTTACACATAATTATTCAAACAAAGTAATAACGAGTCACATTTAATGAAATTTGTCTATCGAATTCGTCGATTAGGTTGAAATCCACGGTGGGTACATTTTTTTTGGTATAGTTCTCCAATTTTCTAGTCTATTTTTTCTTTTTTGAACCTTTCAATTTTCTAATGTAATCAGCAATTTTAAAATCAAATAAACATAATAATAAAAATATATATATAAACTATATGTAAAGGGTCACACTACCTTAAAGCAAAGTCATCTACTTTTATACAAGTTTATTAACTTCAGTACAAACAAAAAAAAGTTGAAGGTAAACTTTGCTTCATGGATTATATAGTAATCAATTGATATATAGATATATGATAATCACATTCACATCTTTATGCACTTTGACTTACTTAAGATTGATAAACAAAAAAAAAGGATACAATTTTTTTTATGATTTTCTCTCTCAAAACTCTTACTATATAATCCGACAGAACAACTAGCTAAAATCATCACGGTTGTGTAATATTTTTCCTAATTTATAAAGACGAAACTACCACAACGCACCACCGAGTTGCATTCGTAAATAATTGAAACTTAACCACATAAATGTAATAGGTATTTTAACAAAAATGAAAAATATGGATAAGTGATAGTAAATATTGTAATAAAAATCAAAATCGCTAGTCTCGCCCAATAGTGACAGTTGAATATGATAGCCAAATCTTATATACCATTTGATACAATTTAAAAGAACGAATTTAAACAATTAAGCAAAACGTACATAAACAACAACAAAAAACAAGCAAAACTAAGAATAAGTTAACTAAAATTAATTTTCTTTGAGTATATTTTTCTCCAAAGTTATATGTATATAATTCTGGTTTGATAATTATCACTGTATATTTTACATTAAAATAACATACTTCTAAGGAACTAATATGTTAACAAAATAGAGACTTTATTAATCATGCCAGGTTTTTACAAAATCAAGGAATATTTGAGAAATGATACAGCATCGGTTATAGCGGGGGACTTGTTGGGTGATATAGTCTAAATTGGCAAAGTTTATAGTGAAGAGATCATTTATTTTTAAAACTCTTTTAGATAAAAAAAAAGTATATATCTCCACGACTCCACCTAAGCAGAACGAAAATATGAAAGTTATTACTTATTTAGATCTGTAGAAGATGAGAAAAAGAAGCTAAAACATATATTGAACCTATTATATGAGAAATTAGGAAAGGGTCATCGAGATATTTTGTAATATTTCTTATTGTGGAGAGACGTACATGCATGAGGTCTTAACTCTTAATTATCTTCTAAATCTGGTCAATTGTTTATCATATCATCAAATAAAAGTAGATCACACGTTTACGAACGTACGTGGTATTATTCATCACAATAACATTCCAAAAACAAATTCTTGAAATTTCTAAGTGTTTGTATTTTATCGGGGCAATTGCAAAACTACAACATTAGTATCAACACTTTTTGTGAATACAAATAACCGCTTCCTATTTTCAGAATAAATTACAAAAATATCAAATTGACCTTGCTAAGAAAAAAAGGTAGGACAGTCGTCGAGATTATTCGTTGAGTCGAGAGAAACATGATGACTCCGACTGATAACACATTTCTTTTTTTTCTCTGAATATGAATTGATATTATAGGCTATAAATGTGGTAAAAACTATGTTTAGGGCTAGGCCCACCATGTTCAGAATAAATGTTTAAAAACCATAAAGCAAAAATAAGGTCCAAACGTAAATGATAGAGATACATCGTTTGAGCACGAGATCCCTCTCAGGCTCTCAGTTTCGAAAAACTCCTTCATCCACCTTGGTGGTTCATCTGATTTTTTTTTTCTGAATTATATGTCAAATTAATTCAAGAAAAAACCATTATTTTTTATAAATCTGATGTAACTTAGAAATGGAGATAGCTAAGCGAAAAAGAGTTGATTATAAAACAGAGTATTCTAGGTAGAGACTAGAAACCATTGTTGAAGAGTTTCTATGTAGGAGTCATCTCCAGTTAATCGGATAGATGACAATCTGTTGCGAATCTGTTTATCAATGAGTTGGATTTGCATGGAAACTGGAGTCGGGATCTCTCCATTTCTGCGGGCATTACTCTCGCGCGAGGTGGTGTAGATTAGGGTCTGGAATGCGTATCTTGCAAGGAAACCATGAACCTTGTCGAGCTTTTGATCAGCCATATAAACCAGCACGTCCTGCCAAGCTGTGGAAAACGCTGGACTGAGAAACTTTCGAGTGAGTTTATTCCAGATCTCACCTGAATAAGAGCATTCGAAGAACAGATGATCCTTTGTTTCCATTAGAGCAGGACATAAGACGCAAGCAGAATTGGTTGGGCAGTTCCAAGTACTCATGCGATCGCATGTAGACAGTCGGTTGTTGAGTGCAAGCCATGTGCAGAATGAGAATTTTGGAGTAGCGTGGGTGAACCAAACTACTCTGTGCCATGGGACTTTCGTTGAATGACGAATTTGTTGCCACGTATCCTTCGTTCGGAATGTCGGTTTGAAGATGTCGCCCTTTTTCCTCCAAAGCAGGATGTCTTCGGCATTTGTACGCTTATCTTTCTGCTGTAAAAGAGCTTCCTCTATGTCATTAAGCACAGTCGCTCTGTACATCCGACGTCGATGATGCGTCCAAGCAGATGCAACTGTATCATGTAGGCCAATCCCCATATCTATAACTACCCGAGGTCCAGTGATCTCAAGCAAAGGCCCCAAGCTTGACCAATTGCTGAACCAGAATGAAGCTGAGTTACCGTTTCCTACTTCGGTTCTGCAAAATGTTTTTGCTGTATCTCTCTGTTTTAACAACTTCTTCCACATCCATGAGCCTAGACTTGTTGTGGATCTAATTGCCCAAAACGAAGAGCTCTTGAGAAGATTGGAGTGAATCTATTTCACCCACAACGAGGATTCATTTGAGAGTATACGCCAAATCAACTTCAGACAACAGACATCGTTGGTCTTCGGCAGGGGCCGGAGACCTAGCCCTCCTTCACATTTCATTCTGCAGAAATCTTCCCATTTAACTTTTGCTTTTCTCGGATTAAGATCTGGGCCTTACCAGAGGAATGCCGAACACATTTTATCTATCTCTCTAAGACAAGCTTTTGGAAGTCTGAAAGCTGAGAGCCAGAAGGTTGAGATGCTCCAGAGAACTGAACTGATCAGGTTAAGCCGTCCTGCAAAAGAGAGAAACCTTGCTGTCCACGAAGAAATTCTATTTCGAATTTTCTCTAGCAACGGTTTATAGTCATTTGTAGTCATGCGCTTTGTGACTAGAGGGAGGCCTAGATAGCACACTGGCAGCTGTGCTGAATCGAAAGGGAATTTAGTCTCAAGTGCAAGTCGCTCAGAATCTGTTACACCTGCTAAAAACAATGTTGATTTCTCCATACTGATCCGTAATCCCGACATCTTGGCAAAGTTGGTGAAAACGTCAAAAATCCCTTCTACTGATCTAGTGTTACTGTATGAGAGAGTATCATTAGATCATCTGCAAAGCTAAGATGAGTAAGTCCCAGCGGTTTGCACTTGGGATGGTATCCGAATTGTCGCAGTGTAGCTGCTCTATCTAGAAGCTTAGAGAGAACGTCCATACAGATTACAAACAGGTATGGCGATAATGAGCATCCCTGACGGAGGCCTCTATTGCTGTCAAAGAACCCAACAAGCTCGCCATTCACCTGAACCGAGAATGATGCAGTTGTAATGCATAAGGATATCCAGTGGATGAATGCAGCAGGAAACTGCAGTACCGAGAGAACTTTTAGGATAAAACTCCACTGAACAGAGTCAAAAGCTTTGGAGATATCTATCTTGATCGCGCAGCAAGCTGATACTGTGCTTTTGTAGTAGTCTTTTACCAGTTCAGTAGTCAGCAGGAGGTTCTCTATTAGCAGCATGTCTTTGATAAAAGCAGACTGATTAGCAGAGATAAATTTTGGGAGAATACTTTTAAGTCTGTTGGCAATGATTTTTGATATGACTTTGTATAGCACATTGCAGCAGGAAATTGGCCTATAGTCCTTCATCTCGGTTGCTCCAGTCTTTTTTGGAATGAGAGCTAAGATGGTGGTATTGATGCCTTTTGGAAGGAATCCTTTTTCGAAGAATGATTGTACTGCCAAAACAAATTCAGAACCTATTATATCCCATGCTGACGTATAAAACTCTGTAAGT